ATGGTTTTTGAAAATGAATTCTTTTTAATACAAACATTTTCGTTCGGTTATAATTCTTTCTATAATAACGCATTCACGTATCTATTTTACTCATTTTTCTCCATCAGGAAACTCAAATCTTCTTTTACCTTTTCGGTGCCCTTTCAATCTCTCGGCAACAAAAACCAAAAGAAACACCAGGAACAATAAGTTGTGTCTCTCTCTTCAGTTCTTTTCCTAAACCATCTGCGAATGGAGCCTAATTATGACTCTTCAATCTAAATTTCAGCCCGAGGCCATTCGAGCTGCTAGACAAAGGCCCGAAGCCGTGGCCTTGCCTTTGGGGGTAGGCGATTTGGCCAGCCCCCGGGCCTTGCGCATCACGCTCTGCCTAAAGGAACTGGACTCGGAGGTGTGGCGTAGAGGGTACGTTTAGGTAAAAATAAAATAAATAAATAAAAAAGAAACTGAGTGGCTTCTCTATTAAATGATTGTATCCGGATAGAGGATGAAGGGGTTTACCAGAAATTTACGTTTCGTTTTTGGAGGCGTAGAATGTATTTACCAGTTTGGGGTGATAAGATGACATGTAGGTATTAGAGACATGTGCAAGAAGTCTGGACAACAGTCATTTTTATCGAAGAATTTATTAGATTTATTTTTTAGCAGGGATGAATATTTCTTGAAAAAAAAATTCATATCTGTTTAACAACGTAAAAAATAATCAATATGCTGTCCAGAATCTAAGAAATTCTGCACACTTAAGTTATTACAGAAGGATTGAGAGGACGCTTCTGCAATGTTCTTTCATTAAGGTTTGTTTGAGTAGTGTTCTTTATTCAAACGAGAAAGGTTCAGACACCTTTATAAGCCAAGACATGACTGTCTAAGTAGAGTTATTGTTTGTTACTCCAGTAAAGCAAACGAAAATCCTCCTTCATCTGATTTTCAGTTATAACAAAGCTGCCGAGGAACTGCTCTTGGAGAACAATAAAAGATCTCCATAAAGTTCCGGCACTTTTAACCACATACTGCTGTAAATGAGTCTGGATAATTCGCATGGTTTAGTGGCACTTGCGCACAACGAACATTCATTGCTGGGTGGGTAGTAATTTATAGTAGCAGTTCCGCGCACAACCACATCTTGCTGATTATCTTTTGACAGCTTAAAACAGGGACTTGGAGTATTAATTTGCTTTACAAAATTTTAACTTACTGGACTTAGCAAATATAGATTTCAACAAACTGCTCACAATATATATGTGTTAACGTGTAAAGAATGATAAATATTTTAAGGAGTCAGATACCTTTAAAATGTAAAAATACAAACACATTTTAAGGCTCAGTACCTTTATAACTCATTTACGAGTCTGAAATTTTGTATACTTATTTTGATGTCCAGAATTTTTTGCTTGAGTATTTGCTCTTATATTCCAAAAATTAAAACGCTTTAAATAAAATACTTTTTATGATCTACATAACATTGTAACATACTGCGAGCAGCATTATATAAACAGATCAGTATTTTTAGCTGATTCCCCTCCCCAAACAGAAAAAACAATGTGCAATTAAAATAACCTATGTTAAAAATAATGGACTTAAAGTATTTCCTTAAAAAATAACATTTATTTAATATTTTTTATTTTAGTAAATCTAAGATCGATTATTTTTCAGCATAATAAAAGATAATTTCTAAAATTTTTAGGTTAAATTTTGTATGCATACATATATTAAACTAACATTAATAAAAAAAAATGTGCATTTACCCTAAATGGCTTCGATTTTAAATCCTTTGCGCTTTTGGCATCAAGCCAAATATACTTTCCTTTACAACACGGATTAGGATAACCATGTAAAAGTAGATGCACCCAGCCCGTTCGCTGTGATTCAAATTTGGGTCAAACTACCAGTGTCATGTGTCTTATCAACTCTGTCATAAGGGGCCTCCTTGGCGGTATGAATTCCTTTAGGAGTACGATCATTTATTTACCCATTAAAATACATCGATGCTCATAAACTAATGGATCTGTGTAAAAATTAGTTTGATATAGTAGCAATAATCTTGAATAAAAAAAATTTTTACTGAAACAATGTGACAGAACTCATTTAAACTTCTACGAACGAAAACATATTGCCATACTTAATAGAGTATCAGAGAGTATTTTTGAATGCAGGAAATATTCATTTTCAGATCCTTAGTGCAGAATGTAAAATTCTTTTTCTTTTCTCCCGTTCTACAGAGAATTGTACTCGAATTCTTTCAGTTTCAAAGTAACTATGTAATAATCTTCCGAATCTAAACCGCATTTCAAGTCTCTCATCAAGCGTTACAATCGATCTGTTTTAAACGTTGGAGTTGCATCATAAGGTAAAATACAGTAAAAAGAATTAATTTCCATCATACCCTAACGCACTGCAGGTGAGCCTTTTGGAGTAAACTGTTGTTAAGTCCAGAATAATCCATAAAAAATGTCGACCTTAATACCAAAATCAAACACAAAATTGGGTTCACAAAAACACTCAACAGCTGTCATGGAAAGACCGACTAACACGAAGCACATCGAAGAGTCCTCTACAGGAGGAAAGGTGGTAAGAATAAACCCGGACTCTCAAGGTATCACCCCCTCGGTTTCGCTCCACTGCGATTTATCATCACTGTTATTACAGCGAAGTTCGGTCCTTTATTTTGGGGGTGGGTCTTTTTCTTTCTTTTTTCAGCTAGCGCAAAAAGAAGCTTCAGAAGTGCCGTTAGATCAAGAATTGATGCTTCTTGGAAAGAAGCTGGAATCGTTGATTAAAAAAAAAAAAAGGTTTCCAGCCTTTTGCACTTCTTTTTGCATTGAAACTTATTACAGTTGAATGGAAGAGGAAGCTAAAGATCCATAAAATGTCATCCTGTTTACTATTTGATATGGCACGCGTTGGATCTGTCAAGAAAACTTTTTTTTCACCAGTGCTTTGAAAGAGGTAGGAAAAAATCTCCGATTCAAATGTCTCACGGAATAAAGTATTCCGATCCGGTTGGATATAATAAAAGAAGAGGAACGCCAAGCCACTGCAGTTACTTAGTAGCTTTTTTTGTTTGAAGTTAAGTTATCCAAAATGCCCCAAGAGCCGTATGATAGCAAAGTACATAAAGTTTATTTGTCTATTGAAAAGAATGCTTTCATATATTACTTTATGAGTGAATTTTATCCTTATATACATTACATATAGCACAAATCATAAAAAGTTTACTTTTAAGATAAAGAAAAAAGGCTTATTTCGGAAACGCCCAATCTTGGCAGAACAGATATTAAAAAAGAAAAGAAAGAAAGAAAAGACTGCATAGATTAAATGGACTGGATTTATTAATTGCGTTTTGATTTTGAATATATGCAGTTTGTGGCTTCATTTTATTGGTGTCATTTTCAATCGTTGAAATCAAAGGAGAGGGGAAATTTTTTTTTTCTTTTTTTGTTCACGGAACAGTATTAGTCAGTATTAGTATTACACAGAACTGTCCTTTGATGTGTATGAGAAATAAAGGGTTCATTTAAAGTACGAAGGAGGGAGGGACTACAGAATTTAGAAAGCATGATATTTTACACACCCCCTAAAAACATTAAATTAGCTTTAGATCATCTTCAGTATTTTCACACCACTAGTGGCTGAGTGGTTAAGACCGCTAAATACTGGTAATTCGATCCATGCGAGGAGGATGCCTGTATGATTGGTTTTTCGCAGTTTTCTCCCACACCTAACGCGAATACAACCCAATTTCACTTAGAAAGTTTTCCGCAAATGCATCCCTCCCTTTATTCAGATCGCCTTTGTGTGCTTTACCATACTAAAATAACCTAACCTAGAAGGTGTTTGCTTACATGTTACGGTTACGATTGAAAAATCATTGCTTAAATTAAGCATCTACACAGAAAATTTAACAATAATCATGCGCAATATTCAGTGCTAGATTTTTAACTAAAATAAACTGTTGCTGAAAGGAAGTTCGAATAATTATTTAGGATGGATTATCGATACTACTAAATAGCATTGTGCAATGATATTTATAACACACAAATATATCTGGAAACTCTTCGTTAACTGAAAGCTGTGCTTTAAATTTGCAAATTACATGCTTAAATCCACTAGAAAAAACGTTAGAATCATTTTGGAAATAGAGGGGGAAACTTTGATGGGGATACAAACCCTTTCTAGACTTCATGCTACATATAACATAAGAAAGAAGGATAACTTTAAACCGGCTGAAAGTTCGCCCATTCTAGCTTCCCAAACAGTAAGAAACTTGCATGTTCATTCCCGAATAGTTTAATTATTAAGGCAGCAATTTAAAGACTCTGTTTCTAAAGATTTGAAAAAAACTGTCCAATGAATACCATGTCTAGATAAATTATGCGGAAGCTACTTCTACTCTGCGACAGCTTTTTGGGGAGCTTAGGATCAACTTTTATTTTGGGAATCTAATTTTGCTCTTAATTAAAAATCCCGCCGTTTAGGATTGGAAAAAAAAGTGGGGGAGGGGGGATTATAGAAATTTGGCATCCGAATCGGCATATCGATTGACATCCTGCAATTTATTCACGTGGACATTTAGTTTGTAGATATGTTCCTTCAAAAAGCTGGCGAATATAATAGTGCCTATGGACTATTACATTCAGGAGTTATCGTCAGTTTCCGAAGCTAGTGGAGTCAAGGCAAAGTATGTAAATGATATGAAAAAATACATCGAAAAGAAATAATTGCAAAGAGAATTGGATATTCGTGGCGGAAGTATCAGAACCTTCGAAATGCATCCTACTGACTAGAAATATTGCTTGAATTCTCATTGCAGTCATTCATTTTCTTATTTAATGCATAAAAATGTTAAGATATGACTTCTATATGATAAAAATATAAGCTACATTAAATTCTGAGCCCCAGATCGGAACATATTAAATTTGCTTATTAGTGCCCAGAAACCTTTCCATTATTCCAAAAAACTGAATAGAACTACCATAAGAAGTTAAATGTCTTTTACTTACCTCCTGAGGACACCTCCTAGAAGGGAAGCATTGAGACATTCTGGTGGAGAAAGCCTCCGCTGTACTTCTCCAACTGTCACCTTGTACTTGGAAGTGGAACTGAGCAAGGATAGCCGCCCTGGAACGGAACAGAAGACGTCCTGCGCCGATGTTATGCCGGAAAGCATCATGTCCTTGTGATTGTTTTCGTTGTTGGTGCGTTGTTTGATTCCTGAAACGAGGAATGCAGCTGCAAAGCATGTTTGCCAATGAACATGTGTGCTAACAACATTTCTGATAGCATTCAAAATTACATATATAAGCATGGACATGATTATACAATGATCAGAAATTGAGTTTTACATAAATACGGAAATAAAATTTCAGAAGCCAAATAGCAAGAAGATTAAGACAGTGGTGTCGCGCGTTACAAACTCGCGTCCGAAACGAAAAATCTTTGGCATTACGAACCGCACACGAATTTCGTCACGCGTTATACAGAGTTATTGTTTTACTTTTGTCTTTCAACGCGAAAAGACAAAAAACTGGATCTGTGCATAAACGAAGACAATGAAGAAAAAAACTGCAAGACTTTCTTGAACATAATCCTTGGAAGAATCAAGAGTAAAGTTTCTTCTATGAGAAGAACACAAAAGTTCGATCCCTGCTGCAAACAAAACCCTTCTGAAGACGAAGGACTGAGCCATAACAAAACCGTGGCTTTTTAGTTAGCTGAGATTGGAGGGGGGAATCTAGTTTTTTTCAATAACATGTCAAGAATTATTTCAAGATTATTTTAAAGAAAAGTTTTTTTTTTTAAACAAAAGATGTATTTTCTTTACTGAAAGCAATGGGCAAAGCAAAGCGAAAATGAATTTAGAGTTATCAGTCCAGAAAAATAATAATGGCATGTGCAAAACTTAAGACAGAATTTTGCATGCTTTAGTAAGGTCTGGAACTAATATCACAAGCTGAACAGCTTTTTGAATAATTTTCATGGAAATAAACTGAAAACTGGGCTTGAGAGGCCAATAGTAATTATTTATCGAGGATTTGCTTATTTCTCTTTTTCGAACATAACATTCGTGTTCCTTGAAGCAAAATTTTAACACTCCTTGACGTTTAGCAAACATAGCTTTAAGCATACTGACAAAATATGCAAGAAAAGGAATTGAGACCTTAAAAGAGAAGGGAAAAAAAAAGCTTGAAATGGTATAACGCATGGTTATTTCTAATAATGGAATGCCCTTTTTTATGGCAAGGTTAAAATTTTTATAAGTTCTATTAAGTGTCGGGGTAGAAATTTTTTTCTCAAAGATAACCGCTTTAAAATAACAGAGTTCACGAGAAACTACATAACGAACGCCATTTTAGAAATAATAACGTTCGTTTTGTTGCGAGACACCACTGCAGTTTATTTCTTTAAATCAGAATGATAAACAAACGCATAAAGATTATGCTTTTTGATTGCATTCACACGTCGCTCATTCTTTATCTGACAGACTGTTTATTACTTCCAGTTTAGAGCAAACTAATTCATACTATTAAGCTACTTTTTAAAACGTGTCAAGAAAATAAGGAAAAGTATCACGTTTCAGGCAGTTTACAAACTGTAGTAATTCCACAGAAATATCTTTTAAAAAATTAAATGCATTAGTTGATACTTGAATGGATATGTAAAGAATTATTAGAAAGAATTTACATCTCCACTGTGAAATGATTTAAGGTGTGGTTCACCACATCAGTGGAGCTGTCAGATTTCGTTAATAATATTTCGCTTACCGCGTCTCTTTAAACCAATGGAATCGATGCAATTTACGGCCGCTAAAAAATTTCCCCTTCATCTGCATAAGGTATCGTTAATATCTCAAGTTACGCCACACTGAACTACTTCGCATTTGGCAGTAGGCCATGTAATTTAGTTCGAATGTAGTTTTGTTCAAGGACATATCTGTTATATGAATGATCGAAGTTTTTTCGATCATGAACAGTTATATAAATAAGTTATGGCAAACAATTGTAGAGGTAAGTAAATAAGGAAGAAAGTTCAAATTTGCAATATATGGCGGAAATAAGCCAGTAATTGACTTTTGACAATCATTTCACAACTCCAGGAAGCTTAATCCTGTTTTAGAACGATGCATATAATCAAATAAGCAATTACTAATAATGTGTACAATTACTCTGTTTATCATCCTTTCTTTTCTACTACGATGTCTCTTGCAATTTATATCCAAAACAATTACGGATTCAAAGCCACTAAGCAAAAATATTTTTTATTTTGTACGTTACATAATGTGGGTAATGATGTATAGTACGCGATGTACCGCTTTTAGTTATTTCCTTTTAAAAGGCGCCACTAAATTTGGATATTGTTCAATTATTTCTTTTTTCCCGCCATGTTATTGCAAATTCGAAAAATGAAAGCTATGATTTTTTTTATTTATGACGCCGCTATTAATGAATAATGAAGTTGCTGAAATTTAAATGTAGTAGAATTAAAAATTTAATAGTTAAATAACTGATTAAATTCAGTAGATCGCATACTACATCATTACCGATAAATATATGCATTTTAAACTACTTTACTGCAACAATCTACTCATCTCCAGACTCAACATTTTATTTTAAGGAAATATACAGTACTTTAAGTTCATCCGTAGTTTTTCTGTTGTTCAAGGACCAATATCGTTAGCATTTTCCCAGGAGCTTTAAAGTTGATTTTGCTTTTTATTATGAGAAAAATATAGGTTTATAAGAGATTATAAGATGAAGTCCCCTCCAAATACGAGGCCTTGACTCTCGTCTTGTGGACCTAAACTAAGCAGACTTTACAGTGGGCTCTTCTTATGCCAGAAATATTGCACAAGCTAAATTTCGAGAGATTTTTATATCGCAAAAACAGTCCTTTTCGCTTAACACACCATTTTTAAGTAGTTGCTATAGACATGCAAATTTCGCTCATATAATTAACACTGTATCTTTCCACTGGCAGTACTTAATATTGCTAATATTTAAAAGAAAATGTATTTATTGATACCTTTTCATCAAGTTTTGCATGTAAAAGTAACAATTTAAGAGTGTATAAATACATTGAGAGACAAGTGCAACCGTCATTTGTTTGTGTAACAATTTTAAGACTTCCAACTCTGATATATCTCGTAGAATGCCTCGATATCTTTTATAAGTTATATTATGTATTTTTATTTCTAGATATGTTTACATCGGAAGATTTCGTTAAATAGTTTAAGTAATCTGACTAAACTAAAGTCTTACTTTATAAGATAGGCATTTCAAGGCCTTTCCGACGCACCGTTTACGATGGTAACACGTGTGTCAGCACGGCTCAGTACTTATTTTTCCCACTTCATTTGAGACAGTAGTTCAAGTCGGCCTCTATTCGTGCTTTTCTCACGAAGCGAAGTACTCCAAACCGAAAATGAAGCGGAAGAACAGTTAGGGAACTTAACCATTTGCATCAGCTGTTCTTTGAATGTAATTTTTGTCAATTCCCGTTGAAATTACGCAAACGAGTAATCATACATGGAAGAGGCACTAGGTGGTGGTGTATTGAGAATACGGCAAAGCACACTAGGGCTATCTGCCTAAGGGGAGGGATGCTACATGCATGGGGGAAAGTTGGAACCAAATCAACTAAAATCTTTTCCTACACATTGCATCAGCTCCTTATAAAACTGCATCATAGAGCGGCATTCAATGGTTTCTGTTGACTGAGTATTACTCCTGCTACCATGGGCTTTTATTAAAATGTTGATATAATCCAACTACTCTATATACAAAAATTATCATATTTAGAGGTAACTGGGGAACACTAAGAACCAGTAATATGCCCTAGAATACTTAAATAGCTAAGCTAATGTCTTCAAACGGAAGTTAGACTTGTACATTTAGAAAATAATCCACTACCACACGCATTGATGAAAAGATATTTTGGCCATCCTCTGCCTTTAGTTCTGACTGCTTGATCTACACAAAACAGAACGCTAGAAGCAACGTTTGAGATGCAAGAGTAAAATGTTGAGAGTTGGAATTTGTCCTTCAGGCTGGCTCTACACCAAGTCATCGTTCAATTGTTACCGGTAGCTTGGAGTGAGCCTGAACTACCCATAAATCTGATGTTTATTATTAATTTTTACACTCAAACCTGTGTATCTAAATTTACCAGGAGATTTCTAAAAGACATACAAAATGCAACAAAAAATTGCTCTTAAAGTTAAAATCTTATTGATCACACATTGTGGTGGTAGAGCAACTGCAAAGAAATGATATTTAATATATCAGTTATTTGTTCTGAAAATTTAATTTCCTAAGAGGAAAGGTCCATTTTTGTAGGGGCTTATTAATTTTTTTATTATTTTATCTGTTGTACTTTACACAACAATAAATTTTATACTTATTTTTTTAAATCATACTAAATTCCTTTATTAGTTTAGTTTTTAAATTAAGCTAAAAGTACTGATGGGATAATTTTCTGCCTTTACGAGATGAAAATATTCTCCCATTGCTTGAAGAGTAATTTATATGAATATAGTATTAAAATATAAACTTCCTTACCTTTTCTGATGACACTGTTGTGTTCTGAGGAAAATATTGCTTCGTCAACCGCAGAAGTCTAAAGAAAACAAAACTGTATTAATAAATTGTATATATTTTCATTATATTTATTAACATCATATTCGGAAAATCAAGAAATTAATGTTTCCTAAGTCGATATAGGAATTTAAAACCATGTAATGAAGCATTAAATAAAGACGCAATATTACTCTCTAAATTAAACGTCATTTCATTTAAACACGTTATACATTTCGTTAGTTACTGCCGACTGACGATATGCAATTAAAAAAATTATATTCCCATATCAAATTCTACACAGATATCCAGCCGCCCCATATTAGTGAAATAGGATTTTGAGAACGAAACGGAAAGGATGGCAAAGTAGGCTTAAATCTTGACGTGTTAAAATAATTAATAATAAGAATTTTTTTCGAAGCCAAATGCTAAGATTCTTCATCATTCGAATCCTTATTTACACTAATAGTAGGAAAAATCAAAGAACATAACATAATGTTTCGAGTTTTTAATTAAAGAAAAATTTTAAGTGTGCCTTAAATGGAAAACAAATTAAAGAATGAAGGTTTTTAAAAATACACCTCTATTTACAAAACCTATATTTTATGCATGTAAAACAGATCAATGAAATATATAATGTGGAGGTGCATTTTCTTGAGAAAAAAGCCAAGTCCAAATTTTTTATCTTTCCAAAAATCTTAAATCAAAAGGAATTATAAGAGTCGGGTATCATTATAGTTTCGAAGATAAGAGCTACGGAACGCTAAATTCTTTTTAGAAGGTTAAGAATGTGGTTGTCAGGTTCGCCGCGCGGGGTCATACTTGGTGACACAAATCTACAGAAATCCGAACAATCGCTTTCATCTTTTAATTAACGCTTCAACTGGAGGTCAATAAGTCCTTCGAAAGTTTTGTGGGAAAAATATTAAACAGTCATTAAGTTACGATTCGAAAAATTCGACTGACAAAAGAAAGATTCGGTTGTTTGAATTTTTTTGCAACATTCGTGGTGTTGGAGGTTTTAAATGATCCATCCTTTGTAAAATATCGTATTCCCGTATCGTATATGTTGTATTCGTAATATGTCGTATATAAGCCGCCCTTCTTTTCGCAAGAGATCAGATTAAAGTGCCGTTTCCATACGTAAGGAATTAGAAATACGCACATACAAACATGTGCAACATAATCAGGGAGTATTTTGAGTAAAAAAATCCATTATTGTTGGGAAAACTTTACATAGACTGTAGGAATTTAGTTGCTGGTGCAGATGTCGATATGGCTGGATACGACTGGTATCGCTCATTATCGCTGGATACCGGTACCAGCGATAGTAATACTGGTAATGCAGGTAATTACTGTCGTGGTACCGACAATGACAGATAATAAGAAGTGCTAAATGCAAAAACATGTTCCTTTTGACTGATAATAAAAATTTTGTTTCAATGTGTGATAGGTATTATTTTCATTTTAGCTGCTTTCACACCTCCAAACGAGAAAATGTTGCAGATGGTAGCCAGGCTACACGCAACTTATCCTCTAATTTAAATTTTAAATTTTAAGAGGCGGTTACCCAGAAGGACTTAGTCCCAAAACGGCATTTTCTGGAGTTTCACTATTAACGGCGAATCACTTTTTAAATTGTTGCCACATTATCGCCCTGTATTATATTTAAAAAAATTAAATAATGAAGAATCTGCATGAATGTGTATATGTTTCTCGCATTGTGAAAAAAACGACGGTACCTAGAGCAATCAAATTTTGAATATGCAATCCTTCCACCGAACTTTCACTGGATGCCCAAATTTTGAATTTGTTTTTGATTTTTTTTCACATTTTGTAAAACTTTAACGAAATTTTGATCAACAAACTCAACGGTTTCAAAGGCAGCAATGGCAACGGTGTACAGAAAATGCATTTTTATCTCCAACGCTTAAGACTGTCTAACAGAAATTCTAAATATATTGTGTTTCCAAATATTTTGTGATATTGCTGTTGAACTGAATTTTATGTAGTTTAAGTGCGAAGAACACGAGATTAATAAATAATAAATAGAAGTAACACGGAAAATGTTACAAAACGCCCCTTAGGGTGTAATATTAAATCTGAAAGCTTTCAGATTTTATGTATTGGTTTTGTTTTAATTAAAGGTAAAATTTAAGAGTGTGGCTTATTTATGAGAGAATACGGTAACTCATGACAAAAGCTTTTAATTGTAGAATTTTTAAACTTAATAAGGAGCGTGTTAAATACTAAACATGCCACACTAAATGCTGTAATAAAATACCTAACAATGAATGAAGGGAGGAAAAAACAAGAGTATTAAGTGTGAAGTCGAAACTCGATGCAGTTTTAAAGCACACTGATTTTCTTTGTATAAGCATAAATCATTAATTTATTTGTAGTATTATCAATTAATCTATTCAAACAGGAATCATATAATCGTAAAACATTTGAAACGTTATGAAATAAAGAAATCCCAAATTTTGATTAGTGTGCAAGACAATGTAAAAGAGGTTGATAGGTTTGTATGCATATATCAAGAAAAACGTTTCTGAAAAAATAAAATTTAAATGATATTTCGAATCTGCGCTGTCATTCTATGACATTCGTTTTTGTAAATTATTTAAATGTTTTCGTTATTTTGGACTATAAAGGAATAATATACCACAAGCATATCCCTTTTTTTTTTTTTAAATCTGATTCTTTTTTCCTTGTTCAAATGATGAAGGACAAGAATAAAATAAATTCAATAAAATTGAAAACTCCAGATTAGAATCTAATATCTCGAAAGGTATGCTAAATTTTGAAATAAAAGGAATTTTTTTTTAAATGTGAAAATTCACAAAATTACAAAGTAACTACAATTTGATATTCACCACAACAGATCTATTAGCTTAAGAAATAGTCTCCAAGAAAAAGTATGGAACAGAAAAACTGAGGCGTTTTAAACAAATTATTCATAATGGCAGCTCTAAATTGGCAGCAAAAAATTTTTACCATTAAATTATTGCATCATAAATAAATACCGCGTAAATCTTATTTACTTGTTTCATAAAGAAGAGATTTAGTTTTTCAAAACGAGGCTAGGCATTGATTTCATTGGGTTGCTTGCATACGAGCTTTGCAATAAATATTTCTCACAAGAATATTTGCTTAAATATTCTTGTGGGAAAATGTAACCTTAATACTTGCTGTTTTGCCAAACTCCGTGAACGTTAAAAAACAGACAATTCGAAATTATACCAGACAAATTAAATTGAAATAAAAAAGTAAAACAAATACATTTAAACTTTTTTGCTGAATTATAATCAACAAGTTCTTATAAGTGTTGAAGGATTATCACCAGTTTTTGCTTATCATTCGAGAATCAAATTTTACTGACAGTTAGATGGCTTAGATCTATTTATTTTATAAATCCTTATTATAATACTTCTATAAATTCAAGAAAAGTTTCAAAGTAGTTATTCGAAGAATATTGACGCGGATGAACTTTAATTACTTCAGCAAAAATTTAAGAAAAAATACATAAATCTACAAGCAGCAACTTAATTAAAACCACAGTAATTAAAAAAATATAGCTACAAATTTTTAAAGCATAAAGATAGACCTCCGTAACCCTTTTTTCTATTATAAAAACAATCTACAAAAAAATTTGGACAATTAAGAAAAAAAAAGTTATGACAATAATTACCGACACTTCTCTTCCCCTCACCCCAAATAATAAAGACACACAATACAATACTTTATGAATGGCACAAGTCTTCTTTTGCAAATAATATACAATTCTGGTTCAATTAAGGAGTAGAAAGATAACTGCCAATAAGTTGGCAGCTTTTATATACGATAAGGAAAAAAAAAATGAGAAAAAGGCAGTTAAAATTGGAAAATTATTATTCTTATTTGTTAAAAAAATGGAGATAAGAAAAAGAAGAAGACATTCTTTTCCTCATTCTTTAGCCGAGTTCAAAAACACTACAAATGCTTTCGATCTTCTTATATCAGTCTTTTTCAAAAAAAAAAAAAAAAAAATTTCCAACGCAAATGTTTATCAGATCATATGGATGTGAAAAACATTTCTTCTATGTAAGATGGTGCTTGTAAAATTTCATCGAACTGTAAAAGTTCTATGTAGATGCTTGTAAAGGACTGTAGAAGTTATGTAAGGTGCTTGTAAAAGTTTATCGGACTTATTCGAAATAAGTGGAAATTATGCTAAACTTTTAATGATGGAATTTCCTTCTTTCAGGGCATCAAGCCTTTGATAACCCTATACAATACAGCGTTTCTTTTGTGACAATAAATTTCAAGTTATCGTTGGTTTTGCCCACTTTGAACCCGTACGCAAGTAACAGTATTTTTATTTATTTTACATTATTACCCACCCCCCTTGTTGCTATTTTCAAGGCGCAACTGGATTAGATTTAGCACTGCTTTTTTTTTTTTTTTTTTTTTTTTTTTGTATTTATTGAATAATTATACAATATATTGCTACTAAATTTGTATATATGTAAATAATTTTAGTGAAATTGTATGTAAAAATTTCAGTGTGTCTTGTATAACATAAAATGAAATGCTTGAAAGAGACGAAGCTATGGGAAAATAACAGTACGGAGCAAGTCTCTCGCGAAATTGGCAATACTTAGCTGGTTTGTTGCCAAATTTGGCGAGAAACAGCCTAAAGCCTCCAAACTTGGGAACTATTTGGCGACATTTTAGTCCGGTCTCCCTGTATAACTGTAATTGAATAATTGTAATAGATCCCTAAGTGTAACTAAAACCGGATTTGGCCCTTATAAGAAAGTTTTAACCGTATATGGCTTTCAGAAATTTCGAGAAAAGGGAGGCACTAGAGATTTCTAGGCGGCTAGGGAAAAACTATAAGTCCGAAGAGAGCATCAGTTCTCGGTTTTTCAGTTCAGACTCGACTATGTAGTATTGAGATACCTCCATGTGAAATTTGCTCTTTAGATGCGCTATGCATTGCATTGTATTTAACTTTCTTAGTCGTTTGAACTGCAACTACTGAACGTACTCTGTGATACT